CCCCAAAACCCCAAAACCCCAAAACCCCAAAACCCCAAAACCCCAAAACCCCTATTTGCAATTATGATATTGAAAGATAAAGACTAGTGATATTTATCAAATGAGCGTAGAATATCTCGAGAGATCACCTCCAACTGCTTCCTCTTCAGTTGAATTCTGAGAGAGTCCTCTGAGTTATAAGTCTTGTGAGCATCAAGCGGATCTGTGCCCTGTACATTGTTGAATTTTCTGAGGATTCTTTCCTTCTCTGAGATAGCAAAGGAAAGATCTTCCTCAATACGGTCTGAAGGAGACCCTTGAGAGATAAATTCTCTCCAATTGTTAAATATAGCCTCCTTTATTTCAGCAGGCTCTGAAGAGGTTGTTAAGTTAGTTAATTCAAACATATGGCCAAGCTTTGATCTTTTCAAATTTGGTTTGAAAATATTATAATATTCATCCTCATAAGCTTGATGAGCTAGAAGCCCATCATCGTTCTTGATATGAGGATCTGCTCCTAGCTCTTTCAAGCTTTGTAGCATCAATTTCTTTTGATCAGCATCTCTGATGTACTTTAAAGAGAAGAAGAGAGGAGTCTCTCCCTTCTCTTTGGTCTTCTGGTTGATTTCTTCTTTTGATGGTGATAATAATTCTATAAATTCTCTCTGATTGTTCTTTACTGCAAGATGGATTCAGTTGACACCATCCCCTTTAGCCTAGATCTGAGCCTAATTGAAACTTACATCAAATTGGTCTAAGCCAAAGTTAAATGATGAGGGAGATTTCTCTTTAAGATATTTGTAAATCTCATAATTTCCATATTTTCAAACCTCTTTAGGCAAATCAAACTCATGCTTTTCTTTTAATTCTTTCTGGATGTCATCTATTTTGCCTGGCTTTCCTTGTGTGGCATCTTGTAAGACATCAATGAACTCTTCATAATCTCCTACTTTGGTTAAAACTATTAATCTGTCAAGGATTTGGTGATTGGACAAATTAAACTTGTTATGTGAACTAGACCCTCCCATTAATTATTCAATATTAAATGTAAAATATGGGGTTTTGGGGTTTTGGGGTTTTGGGGTTTTGGGG